ATGGGCCAAAAATACAAAACTAAGCAGATAGACTTTTGCTCAATGATAATTCACTGTCACTATCTNNATCATCGTTACTATCACTAAAATTCATCAAGTGAAACCTTGAATTCTCCCTTTNTACTTCTTCATAATCACTTTCATCATCCTTTCGAGTATTGAGCAAATCATTGAGCTCAATTTTTCTGTTTTGCATATATTCAACTTGCTTTAATTTCATATCAATCGTCAGAACTTCTTTTTCAATTGAGTCAATAGNAGTGTCAGTTCCCAATGTTTCAAATTCCTATTCACCATGTTTATGTAACTTTATCAACTGACCATGATATTTTATTAACAGTGGCCTGTGGCTTAAAGTAATATATGTGATCTTTTTTGATTTTAGCAAATCAAATAAATAATCTTCAACTTCCCTTGAAACCGAGTTAGTGGATTCATCTCTTAAATAAATGGCAAAGAAGACAGTGCTCATTATTGGTTTGCCTAGATTTGAAAATAATGAAGCAATGATAAGGCAAAACTTTGTGATATCATTTGTAATAAATTGAGTAATCTCGTGAATACTTAGAACATTTAAGCTATCAGCTCTTCAGTCTTTAGACCGAAGAAGGTTTTGGATTATTAATTGAGTTAGGATATTATTTTGAAATGAGATCCGAGTTCAATAGCTTTAATAATAGACCTTAACAATGGTTGGTTTTGGGGTGGTGCAACTCAAAATAAATGAAAAGGAATTTGGTTTCTACAAGGGCAAGCAGTGACGATGTTTTAGAAAACAGTTGAATGAAACAATTTCAAACCAAGCAATCTCAAAAGAAATCATTGAAGTTCTGAAGTAACTCAGTCCAGACTCATGGCAATATATCTGGTATTACAAGCGCCAAAAGAACTTCGATGTGAGGATTGTGCTGGAGGAGTGCTGCTTCTTTTGAACCATCGAGAATTGAACGGCCGATCATTAAGTCTCGTTTTCTGATGAGCGCGTCCACCTTTGTTTTCCTCTTTCCACGGTAGCCAATCAAAAGGCCAGACCCAAACCCTAAAACTGATAGCTCCAACATTCAGTTCAGCCCACGCCAGCAAAAACAGTGTAAAGTGTCCACTTCACTCCCATTTATATTCGATACCATTTCCCATCTTCCAATTCACGTCTTCCAATTCGCACTTCTTTCTCTCGCTTTTCTTCATTAACTTTCTTCTTTTCAGTCCAGCCCACTATGGAACTCTCTTTGAAAAAGCTCTCTCAAGGACATCTGAAACCAAACAACGTAACCTTTCAATATGGCACTGCTGGTTTTAGAATGAAAGCAAGTTTGTTGGACTATGTGGTTTTCACCACTGGTATTTTAGCTGCTTTGCGTTCCAAGTATCTTCAAGGAAAGACAATTGGTATAATGATCACTGCCTCCCATAATCCTCCGGAAGACAACGGTGTGAAGTTGGTTGATCCTATGGGTGAAATGCTTGCTCAAACTTGGGAAGCTCACGCCACCACCTTGGCAAATACTTCTTCAATTGAAGCATTGATTGACGAAATAATCAAGATAGTTGATCTTTTCGAAATTGACTTGAAAACACAAAGCTCAGTTTTTATTGCCAGGGACTCCAGGGAAAGTGGTCCTGCATTGTTGAAATCAACAATTGATGGCCTTAATGTTTTTGATTCAGCAATTCGTGATTTTGGATTGCTCACCACTCCTCAATTACACTATCTAGTAAGAGCTGGCAATTCAAATGGTTCGTTTGGCCATCCATCCTCAGAAGGCTACTATGCAAAGTTATCCATTGCATTCAAACAAATTTATAAGATTAATGGGTTGAACAACAAAATTAGCATTATTGTTGATGCAGCCAATGGTATTGGTGCTCCTAAAGTTCAGGAATTGATTCATGATAATATTTTAGAGTATTTTGATCATTTTCTGGTTGTCAACAACAACATAGAGAACCCTCGTTTACTTAATTATAACTGTGGTGCAGATTTCGTAAAAACAAATCAAAAGTTGCCCGAAAATATTCCAAACCCTGAACCCTTCAATCTTTATTGTTCTTTTGATGGGGATGCTGATAGGATTGTGTTTTATTATATCACCGAAGAAAAGCATTTCCAGTTGTTGGACGGTGATAAAATTTCCACTTTATTAGCCTCTTACTTTATAAAGTTAATCAAATTAACAGGTTTAGATTTATCAGTTGGTGTTGTTCAAACTGCCTATGCCAATGGAGCTTCCACCAAGTATCTTTCTGAGGTTTTAAAAGTTCCAGTTGAATGCACTCCCACTGGAGTCAAGCATTTGCATCATGTTGCTCAGAACTTTGATATTGGAATCTATTTTGAGGCCAATGGTCATGGCACTGTTCTTTTTTCGGACAATTTATTAAACAAAGTCTCTCCAACCTCTTCAAATTTATCAATCAAAACTCTATACTATTTAACAGAATTGATTAATCAAACTGTAGGCGATGCAATCAGCGATTGCCTAACTATCCTATTAATCTTGAAGCTATTGGACAATGGACCAAATGAATGGAACTCAAACTACCAAGATTTGCCAAATAAATTATTAAAAGTTATTGTCAATGACAGAAATTTGTTCAAAACAACCAATGCTGAAAGAACTTTAGTGCAACCCAAAGGCTTGCAAATGAAAATTGATGAAAAAGTTAATCAGTATCCAAATGGAAGAAGTTTTGTCAGAGCTAGTGGAACTGAAGATGCTGTCAGAGTTTACGCTGAGGCTGCCACAAAGGACGATTCAATTGCCTTGGCTGACCAAGTTGCAGAATTAGTAAAAGAGTTTTCTTAGAAATAAACCAATCTTTACATTATTATATTCTATTTATATATTTTTATGTTATATGTATACTCTTTACTCTTGTTCTTTAAAATTGCATTCCATTTCTTCATAATAATTCTAAGCTTTCGAACAAACCAAATAAAATCAAAAAAAAAATTTAACTAACAATCAATCACAAAAATCACAAAAGTTTATAAGTACAAATCTCATCAATCTCATTAAGGCCAAATTAACTCATGTGAGTATTAGATTGTATTGCAGTTATTCTGTCATCAATGTTAATATCACTTGTTTCTGAAACGCTGGTTTTCCCCAAGTTTCCCTCTTCTACAGTCATCAAATTTTCACTTTGTGAAGCATCATGTTCCAGTTCATTTTCATCAGTCGTCTCTTTTAGTTGGTGATATTTCAAAGAATCAATTTTGTTTATTTCATCTCGAATTAACTTGGCAGTAAAATCCGCATCGCCAGTTGAAGAAACTTGAATGGCAGGAATGTTATCAGGAGGATTACTTTTTCTGTTTCTTTTAACAATGGTCAAGGGACTTTGAAGTTTGCTTGACTTTCTTCTACTTCTGATAGCTCTATCTTCACGGTCTAAATCTCCTGTAACTTTGTCTAAATAGACAGGTACAGGTTGATTTCTTTTTAAATAATACATCTTCCAATTTCGAGCTTTNTCTTTCAATTGAATTTGCGTTCTGTTCCTTAAATATTCAGAAGTGGTTCCACCTGCACCATGGAGCTCTAATATTTTAGCCCATCTGGGCCCAATTTTTAATAATCCGTCTTTTAAAGCAGCTTCTTCTTCTTTCGACCATGGGCGTCGAATTGAGTTTTTATTTTTTGATTTATTTCGATGTAAGTCTTTACTTTTTCCAAGCTCGCCAACACTTTGATTTGCGTAAGAAGATATTTCCCCAGAATTATTAAAATAATATTCCTGAGATTGAGAAAGAGAAACAGTAGACA